TGCAGAGGAATGCAGCCGACTGTTGGTTTTCTTGTTAGTTAAACTCTGACACCAAGCTGAATCCTCCTGAAGAGACTTTGTTGCTATGTTGCAGTTTATGTTTTGATGGTGGTTTGATGCTGTTTGTGTTGCTAACGCTGTCGCTAACGGCACACCCTCTCCGAAATCCTGCGAGGGAAGGAAATTAAAGTATCAAAATCTGGTTTGAGAAGAATCATGGAGGAAATGCAACACATGTTTAAAAGGGGAAGATGAGGTGTTAGTGGCTTCCACATGGGTCCTCACGGTCGATTTCATCCTGCTGGGATGAGACAAGGCTTTTATAGGCCCGAACTAAAGGCCAGAATTATTGTGTTTCATTTTGGTTCATCCTTTTTATATTTGCATTTGGGATGTCCCATCACATCACTGTGTGTGTGTGTGTGTGTGTGTGTGTGTGTTTCCACCTTCTCTTTGTTGCAGAAAGCTCAAGAAGTAACAAATCATTAATATTTTATCGTATTTTTTTCATCTTGTCGGTATTTTTTCCTACAGAAGACACAGATTTGTCGTTGCCGTCTTGAGACTCCATGGAGATTAGTTTGAAAAGAGTGGCTGATTTGTACATTATTTGTCACTGAAGACAGTTTCTGTCCAGAGGATGTAACTCTAGACTTTGGATTCATTTATTCGTAGTCGTCGGCTTGATTTTTAATGACTTTTGGGACTTTTTATAAACTGTTTTAATTGGATTTGACACAGAGATGAGTCTGTGTAAGTACTCTGGTAGAAGTCAACTTTACTTCTCTTTGTGGTTCTTGTAGATGTTTCACCTTCATCCAAGAGGCTTCTTTAGTTCTAACTCACTGATGGGAGCTCCAGGTACTTATTCTCATCCCAAGTCACATGGCTCACAGCCTCCTAATGACCCTTGATGCCTTGAGGAGTAAACGGTTGTGAATCTGGCTCGGGAGGGATCTCAGGACTAACTACCTGATAAGTGGTGGTTGAGACCACCTCCTCTGTTTATAGAAGGCTTTTGCAGTTAAACATAGAAGGCTTCTTTAACTCCTCTCTCAAACCATGTGCCTCTGTCGAAATGTGTTTTTTATCCTTTTGATGCACGTGGACTTGAAATCCCTCACCTGGCACTTTTACAACCATTCACACCTCGGAGCATTGGGAGTCTTGGGTCATTAACGGGCCATTTGCCTTGGAAATTGTGGGTGTGAATAAATTCCAGGGACTCCCCACAGTCGGTTAGAACTGAGGAAGCCTCTTGGATGAGACGTGAAACCAAGAATCAAAAAGAGAAGTTCAGTTTTCTTCAACTGAAACTCAGACATGACTCAGAAGTGATTTAATCTTTGGATGAGTCATTATAACTCAGACATTTTAGATGTTTTTCATAACTTCTTTCTGCAGCGGCCCAGTGAACATTGGCCTCGGAATTAAATTGAATCTAAAATGCTTTTTGAATCCCCCAAAAATTCCACTGCAGCATCAGTAATAACAGATGAATCAGAAAATACAGGAGAAAAACAAGACATTCTTGCCATAACTAGCTGATTGAGCAATGTTTAACCTCTCGTGCAGTGTCCTCTGGGGTGTTGTTTCCACATGAAACAAGTTGCTCATTAAGTAAAACTCAGGTCTGTGTCATAGAAAGCAGATTTTTAGAATTATAAGCAACTTATAAGCTACAAATATGTGAAATCAGAAGTTTCTAGGTGCTGCTGCTGTTTTGAATTAATAAAAGTATCTTGAAAATAAAGTGAGAATTCTTTTTCAATTTAAAAAACTATTGTGATTGGTGTCCAAATTTTCATGGAGATAAATTAAGTAATTTCTGTTTTTAAATATTATAACAGTACAAATGTCTAACAGTGACTGCAGGATGGAGCTCTGTGTGCCTGGCTGTAAATATTTTCTCCTAATTTCTTGATGAAAGCTGTTCTCTGGGCTCAGAGTTTGATGGATGACAGTACAGTAGCGAAAAAAAGACCCTGAAAGAACACATTTACATGTATTTTACATTTCTCTGTGTTTACTTTCCATTTAAATAAGAGTTTCTGAGCCCATCTGGAGACGTTGAGTTTCCCTTTCAGTCATGGAAACGCCCTTGAAGCTGCATCCAGTGGACGGAGTCAGTGAACTGTAGCGTCGTAAAATCCTGCTGTAATTTACTGTTTATGGAGCGCAGAGATCTCCTCTGAGGGTTTCAGTCAGTTTCACACATCATTGTTTCTCGTGTCTGTCAGGAAAATGACAAACTGTTTCGTTTCTCTTCAGCATGTCCTTCAGCTTCGCTGGGTTTCCCCACAAAAATAAAAATCCAACATCTGACCGTCACCCACTACACACCTGGGACATCTCTTAAAATTTAAATACCATTTTATTCAACTGTCTGTCATGAAGACTTGCACAAAAAGGGTTGCATGCCATTATGTGATTTAAGATTACAAATGTGCACGACATGCACTTTGAAAGCTTCTTCTTGTTAGCATCGAAAGAGTTTTACCCCCTAAACTATAAAAAATAAAAACCTGCCCAATTGGTCCCTGATGTGCTGTTCACTGTTAAAAGTAGTAAAATATCCATACAGCACACAGAGAAAGTTTTTTTTCTTCAGCATTGGTAACACCTGTGGACCCTTTAAAAATGTTGTTCATGTTGATTATGTTGATTATTTAGTAGAAACAAGTAATCCAAAAAAATGTGAAGCTAGCGTTAGCCACAGGCTAAGAGGCACAGCTAGCCTCTTAGCGATAGCCTTACCCTATCATTCTTACCCTATTGTTAGCAAAGTAAGTTCCAGCTGTACCACTTGTCTGCTCTGCAAATGCACTTGTCTGTCCCTCTGTGTAAATAATAGCTCTCAGTGATTGGCCTGTTGTGACATGTAACAGCCAGTCAGATAGAGCTGTGGGTGGGACATTGGCTAAGACCACAGAGTGGCTGCAGAGAGAGAGCTGGTTGAGTCAAAGTTGAAGTCGTGCATTTATTTTATTTTGCGATAGCTGGTCAATAAAAACAACGATATAAATAATTTAACAATGCCAAATATCAGCCTCAGTAATCAGTTTCCTCGGTTATGGGTTGATCTCTAGTGTCAATGTGACGTTTTGCAGGTTCTGTCTTATAAATTTACCCCAAATCATGATGTTTCCCTAAACCTGACTAAACAGCAAGTTAAAACCAAAAGGTAACGCGTGACTGAACCACAGTCTGATCAAATTCTGATGTCTATATCTGTTGACACTCTTACATGTCACATCTGTCCTTCCTCCAGCTTTTAATGTGGTTAAAATGGCCGACTGAGCGGACTGGAAAGTGCAGGAGGAGCCCTATGGCCCACACTGCTTCTGTGTGATAAACACTGATAACAACCATTTAATGGGATGACAGTATTGGAAGCAGGTGCAACTGGAGATTTGAGGAGAAGGAAAATGACAGACCAGATATCTTTTTCCACCTGCTTCTAGTCTTTATGCCTCGCTTTGTATTTAACTCACAGACAAGAGATGTATTTATAACTATTCTCATTAGTTTAAACCTTCAAACCATGTCAACGTGAAATCCAGGCAACCTTTACTTCATGCCAACCATCCTACCATTTATAGTCCTTCAAAGTGATACGTGACACTGGAGTTATGGCTCTAAAACAATCCTGAGGTCATTTATTGGACAACGATTGTCCTGTAAATCCTCTTTGGGCTCTTTAAAGAAGTTCCATCGAACTTTTTATATCCATGTTTGTGGTGGAAATGGTTCCTGGAGCTGCCACAGCGTTGCTGGATTTATGGTTTGCCATCTTTTCAGGGTTTTGAGGAGATTTCATGGGCAGTTTTCTATTTTATTGTCATGAAAAAGATATTGAGCAACAATCTGCACAGAGAACTACCAGCCCAAACAAAACCCTGATCAGAGTTCCCAAACAGAACCAATCACATCTCATCTGACATTTAATTACACAGTTTACTGCAAAGAATTCTATTTTGATATATTGTAAAAAAATTAAATTAAATAAAACTAAATTATTTTTTACAGAATTAGTCCTGTATTTTATGGATAGATTCTGTATTTTTGAAGTACACAATAAAATCTGTAAAATTATAAAAACAATATGCTGTGAATTTAAAGTTGGAAATATATTAAATATAGAAAATTGCTCTATTCTTATGAAATAGTTGTTTTGTTTTTGTTTGTTTTTTTGTGCTCGCACAATCTTGTGTTTTAATTTAAGACAGTGGAAGCTGTTCAAGGTGATGCTTCGCAGTTTTACAGCTCCGTCTGCAGACCTCATTTCATATCAGACACTAAAAACGTCCCCTAGGATTCTGTGAAAACAGTCTTTGGACAGTTTGGACTTGTCCGTCCTCCCAACACGACCTGGCAGAGATTTTAACCCCCTTAGAGTCCTGAGCGAGGGGACAGCGAGGACTCTGTGAGAACAAGCATTGTGCTGTCCACAAACACATCTGCTGCCTGAATTATTTCTAGAAATATGTGAGTGTGTGTGTGTTGAATCTATTTTTGCTAGTCTGTCTGTTGTTGTACAGTTTGGGAGAGAAAAGCTGCAGCAGTGTATGTTATGCTGCAAAATTTTGGCTTTCTGGTTAGTTTTTCAGAAAACTGAACCATTAAAATTGATTTTCAAAAGAGTTTATGAAACGAATACAACAGTGTGTGTATGGTGTTGCAGTCTGAGTGTTTGTGATGCCCTTAAAATACGACAAAACAAAATTTAAAAGGCAGGAAAAGAAAGGATTCGATCAGGCAAAGGTGGAAGTTAGTCACGTGTTGCAAGAGAAAATGTGAACCTTCTACAGAAAGATGCATCAGAAGCTTGTGATTTTGTTGTTTTGTGCCCATCTGGTGTTGTGATTCAGCTAAATGTGTGTTCAGATCAGAGATAAATGAAAAATCAAAGACAACAGCAGCAGCAGCAGCAGCAGCAGCACAGCGGCGCTGACTTGCTGCTTTCTGAAATGGAGATCAAAGAGTGTATGTTTGTGTACCTGGCTGGTGAAGGTGAGGTGGTAGGTCTCATACTGGACGGGAGGTGGAGTCCAAACCAGAGTGACGGACGTCTCTGTGATGTCCTGAGTGTTCAGCTGAGACACACCAGACATGACTGAAACACAAAGAGGGACACAACACTTTGATTAACTCCAGAGTCTGGAGGAATATTCCTTAAAACAAAGAAGTCGTCTGGTTCCACTCTGACGAAACTAGATGCAGCTTTTCTTGTGCTTCACTTACTGATGCATCAAACCTGGTAAAGCTGCAGGTCAGAACCTTTACAGCAAGACCGTCTCTTATTTATTGTTATAAAGCTGAAAAACAAAGC